CTTCAGCTTATGCTTGCTTGCTCTCTCTCTCAAATAAATCTTGGAAGGAAGGAAGGAAGGAAGGAAGGAAGGAAGGAAGGAAGGAAGGAAGGAAGGAAAAAAGAAAAAGAATTGAAAAGTGAAATGAAACAAAACGAAAAGACTGACTGATTCAGGAACAGTGAGCAGTGTAGTTAGAACACAATAGTTTGTAGGCAGTAAAAACAAAGTCTGAAGAACAGGCTGGGGCCAACACATGGAATGCCATGAAAGCCAGGTTAAAGAGTTTGGACTTAAATCAGTAGTCAGAGTGGCACAATGCAACATAAGAACTTGAGTAGAGACACATGAGTTATAGCCCAGCTCAACGTTTTCTAGCTTTAAGACTTTGGGCAAGTTAAAGAACTTGGGAGTCTCATATTCTCATCAGTATAATAAAGACTATAATCCTCATTTCAGAAGGTTGTTAAGATTACAAAGGCAACATATATAAAGGCCAACAGTGGCCAACAGAGTTCCTGTTCCATCAGTAGCAAATGTGGTTATTAGACAATGGGTAACATGCTTTTGGGGACAGTTAACTTACTGCTGCAGTGACAGGAGGCACCCAAGGATGGAGAGCAGCTAGGAAGCTACTGGCATGCCCAAGGTCAAGCGGTAATAGCAGAGTGGAAAGGCAATGAGCTGAAACCCGGATGAGAGCTGGTGCAGCATGGATGAAGAGGAGGGGGAGGAGGGAAGAAGGGAGGAAGGGTAGGAGGAAGGATAGGATGGGCAGATGGATGGATGACTAGATAGACACAAAGAGTTGAATAAACAGGAATTCTTAACTGATGGAACAGAGGACTGACAATGTTAGAGATAACTCAGTGTCTAACGTTACACTTGGGGCAGGGTAGATACACAAGAAACGTGTGCTGTAAGGAAGAGGGGGGTAAGCAATAAAGCTTTCAATTCCAGGTTAGTGGAAATGAGCACCACTGAAAGACACAGAAGTATCAAGAAGAGTGTGGCTTTGGCAGAGAACGTGATGAGTTCCAAGTAAGCCTCAAAAATAACGTAAAGAGAAATAAGTCTCTCTGATGCTCAGGGACAGGCATGTTCTGCAGCCCAAGGAAAAAGCAAAATATAGCTGGGGTAGGGTGTTATTACTATAAAACTTCTCTAAGAGAGCTCTATAATGGATCTTCTACAAATTACAAGGTCCCCTACATAAAAAAGAACAGTAAATTTTTAACTAGTAAATCAATATTTCCTATATAGATGTCTATTCTATTTGAAGGCAATACATAGCATGAGGGCTCAGGCTGAGCAATTTTCTTTTATCTACCACAGCGTGAGGCACAAAAAATGGCACGCAGCTTTTTGACCTGAATAACATTAAAAATAGTTGAAACCTATAAATATTCATGTAGCACACTCACAAAAAATTGAGAACTGGAGGAAGAATATCAAAGGAAGGCAAATGAAAATTATTAACTCAAAAGAGAAAGAAATATAAGAAATATGGTATAATACTTTGTGGTTATGTGATTCTAGGACTATAAGCAGATATGTCAGCTTCCTTTAGTAACTAAAGCAATTATGGATTCAAATCAAAACTGTATGCCAAGCTCTAGTTTTAACTACAGAAAAGAAAGAAAGAACAGGCAAATTGTTCTAAAAAGGTAATCTAACATTATGTCCTACTGTAAATAATGAACATAAGCCAAAATGATTCATTTCCATGTTTCACAACTTCATTTACAATACAAGACTTCTCCCTACTTAAACCTAAAGTCAACACTCTCATCATTAAAGAGATATAGTCTTTAAAAATTAGATTTATATTACTCTAACCTGTCAACAGGATGCACATGATTTTGCACTATTTTTTCCAAACACTATTCATAAGTTAATACTGAAATAAACACTCTCAGTATTTTTTGCTGATATTAGCCTGTCTTATTACAAGACTCTCTGAGCTATCCTACGCTGAAATAAACTATGACTTAAGAGTCAGTAGAAGACATTTTCATTTGGGCTGAAGCCTTTATTTGTTGGTGTTCTTCTAATATCAGTTGTGGAAGCCCATACAGAAACAGGGACCAGCAACTCTAGGTAGCTTGGAATGCTGAGCCTCCTACATGGGGAGCAGTCCTCCAGTCTTGTGATGGACTTTATGGGAATGAGATATAAACTTCTGTTAGAGAACACACACACACACACACACACACACACACACACACACACACACGTGTGCGCGAACATATTTTCATCAACTACATTCAGACTTTTAAAGTTTTAAGAATTTTGTTCCAGGGCAGCCCTGGTGGCGCAGCGGTTTAGCGCCGCCTGCAGCCCAGGGTGTGATCCTGGAGACCCAGGATCGAGTCCCACATCAGGCTCCCTGCATGGTGCCTGCTTCTCCCTCTGCCTGTGTCTCTGCCTCTCTCTCTCTAGCTGTGTCTCTATGAATAAATAAAATCTTAAAAAAAAAAAAGAATTTTGTTCCAATGTAATTGGTTTGCTAACTAATATTTTCATAAGTGAACCACTGATATCTTGCAAATTAATAATTATAATTAAAAAATTTTTGGTTCAAGGGGTGCCTGGGTGGCTCAGTCAGTTAAGCATCTGAGTCTTGAGACTCTTGATTTCAGCTCAGGTTGTGATCTCAGTGTCCTGGAATTGAGGCCTGTGTAGTTATCTCTGTGGCCAGCAGGGAGTCTGCTGGAGATCTCTCCCTCTGCGCCTCCTCCTGCTCATATATGCCCTATCTCTCTCAAATAAATAAATAAATCTTAAAAAAAATTATGTTTCACATTTCAAATGGCATCAAATTCTTATCTCAGAATAGTATAAAAACCATGACAGTGGAAACTGAGTTGTATATTTACAAATTTTTAAGATTTATTCAATAAATATCTTTATAAGCCCTGAAACTCTAAGGATATGAAAACTGTTACATGTGAAGACTATAAGGAACTTACAGTCTAGTAAAAGCAGACATAAACATAAATTTGATAAAGAAACATAAGAATAAGGAATAGAATAAAATGCTGAACCTCTAGCAAAGCAGGACTCAAATTTGTCACAAAAATCACTCAATCAAGCTAAGGTCAATCAGAATAGACACACATGCACACACAACACTAGCCTTAAAAATATTATTTAGTAGTATGAGTGAAGAGAAACCTAAAGAAAAGTTAATTACTGAATTTAAAATGTATAGCTGAGGACTTATCCAGCTCTATACTGTCTAGAGTACACTTTAAAAAGAATATCTGAGGATTTGTGTTGTACCATGGACACTTAGTGGTTAACTATAAAACCTTTCAGTGTTTGCTTTGCCTCATAATTCATGGGAATATATACCCAAGAAATGAGATAAAGTATGGCAGAATGAAAAGAGTATTGAGTTTAGAATTACAAGCCAGAAATCATGAGACTTCTAGATACTTTAGGCAAGTTATTTTACCTTCCAAAGGGTCCTTTCAGCTCTAAAGGTTCTATTTCAGTAATCATTAGTCAAAAGGAAATTTTATATTAAAATCATTTGGACACCCCCTCTAGTCCCTCACCTAAGTAAAAATAGCCACTCACTTTCTTTTCCCTCAGCTGCACTTCACACGGATTTCTAGTATAGTATCCATCAACATATTTGTTTATCTTTTCTTCCCATAAAACTGGCTATTACTGAGGGTGGGGGCCACACCTTATTTGTCATATTCTAATACTCCCACAATGCCTGGCACAATGTGGGCACTGAACTAGTAGGTAGGAAGAGGGGAGGTGCAAGGAGAGAGAGAGACAGAAATGAAGCAGGGGAGGAAGAGTAGGAGGAAAGAAAGGAAAAGAGGGAGGGAGGGAAATTCTCATTCCTGTGGGATGATTCAGGTGGGCCTTGAAAAGTAATAAATGACTGCCTGTCATGTCTGGATACTTTCCCAGTTTCTGTCAAAAGCAGTTCCACGATTACTCAGGCCTGCTATTTGCCAGTTTAGACAACAGTAACTTAATTTATCATTATACAAGATAATGGTTGTTAAGACTCTAAAAGAGTCAAACATCTCTATAAGACTACCCTCATTTTGAACAAGTATGCTAGTCAGTAACTTAAAACACAGGGGGCATATTAAATTCTCTTTAGAGGCTCCATAATACCTTAGTCTTTACCTTGTACATAAAAGATTCTCAATATTAAAGAGGGTGAGGAGGCGCCTGGGTGGCTCAGTCAGTTAAGCATCTGCCTTTGACTCAGGTCATGATCCTGGAGTCCTGGAATTGAGTCCCACATTGGGCTCCCTGCTCAGTGGAGGGCCTGCTTCTCCCTCTCCTTCCCCTCCCCACCCTTGCTCATGCTCTCCCTCCCTCTATCTCAAATAAATAAAATCTATAAGGAAAAAATAAAGGGTGAGAAAGTTATCATATAATTGAATTCTCTCAAAATTGAATTTCCTTGATTTTGGTAATTGGATTGATGTTATATATGAGATTATCCATGTTCCTAGGAAATACACATTTTAGTAGTTATGGCAGCTCCTCAGGGGCTCAGTCTGTTAAGCATCTACCTTAGGTTCAGGTCATGATCCCAGGGTCCTGGGATGGAGCCCTGGGGGAACTCCCTGCTTAGCAAGGAGTTGACTTCCTCTCTCCCTCCAGCCCTCCCCCTCTCCCTCTCCCTATGCTGCTCCCCCTGCTTGTGTGGGTACTCTCTCTCTCTGTCAAATAAATAAAATCTTTTTTTTAAAAAAACAAATTAGTAGTTTTGGATAAAAGGGCATGAACCCTATACTCTTGAATAATTAAGAAAAATACATAAATAATGTATGTATGAATGAGCATATAGTTGATATGGAGAGACAGAAAAAGAGAAACAAGAGAAATGTGAATCTGGATAATGGATATATTATTCTTGTAACTTTTCTGTAAATTTGAGATATCAAAATAAAATATTACCAAAAAAAGTTAATTGCTTATAAATACACACACAGAAAGAGCAATAGTTAGGTAAAAGCATATTACTAAAGGGTACTCACATAGAATTGAACATTCCCATTAGGGCAGTAAAACAAAAGCCAATTGCAAACATGGATTTCATTCGGACCTATAAAGAGACCAATAAATTGTCATTTCACACTAAAGTCACCACTAAAGCATGCCCCAAAATCGTGATTTCATGTCATGTTTAAAATGCACCCCATAGCAAAAAGCTATTTACTGGCTAACCCATCCTCCACCTCCATGCCCTTCTCCTTGCCCACGTCTGGTGAACAGTATTGGGGTGGCCATGTGACAATTCTGGCCAGTGAGTTACAAATACAAGTACTAAACCAGACTTTGAAAGGGACAAACTTGGTCTACATCCTTTTAAGCCTCTGCCCATTCTTCTTGCCTGGAATGAAGAACATAATGCCTGAAGATAAAGGATAAAGCACATCAAATAAACAACCATAATCTGAGAATGGCTAACCTAAGTTCTTAATGACATTACTGAGCTGCCATACCAGTCCACGACTATCAACTTCTGGATTTCTTTCTCAAGTAAAAAAATCTTCATTTGTTTAAGTTGTTGTTAGTTAGATATTCTATTACTTGCAGCTAACTTCTTAATTACATATGTGGTAAATAAATAAACAAAATAAATAAACGAAAGATCATAAAGATGTAAGATTAAGATTAATAGTTATCTCTGGATGATAGTTGTTTGTTTTTTGCACGTTCTTCTGACTGAGCTAACCTGGCACCCCTGGATGACAAGGTTTATCAGCGATTTTTCTCTCTTCTTTCTGTAGTTTCCAAATTTAGCCTCATAAACATTTAATAATTATGTCAACAGAATAGCTACTTTCAAAAAGATGTACTTCTAAATTATAGCCTTACTCAATAAGAATTTCAAGGAATGGAAGATAATATAGCAAAGGTCTCTTAGAAAGCAAACACAGGGATCCCTGGGTGGCGCAGCGGTTTGGCGCCTGCCTTTGGCCCAGAGCGCGATCCTGGAGACCAGGGATCGAATCCCACATCGGGCTCCCAGTGCATGGAGCCTGCTTCTCCCTCTGCCTGTGTCTCTGCCTCTCTCTCTCTCTCTCTCTCTCTCTCTCTCTCTCTCTGTGACTATCATAAATAATAAATAAAAATTAAAAAAATATTTTTAAAAAAAAGAAAGCAAACACAATTGTTGCACAGTTCAGATGTCCTGTGTTAAACATACAGAAATTAAATAGAAAAATTAGTCAAGCTATATAATTAGCCTATCTATGCTTTAGAAAAACTCTTTGGGATCCCTGGGTGGCGCAGCGGTTTGGCGCCTGCCTTTGGCCCAGGGCGCGATCCTGGAGACCCGGGATTGAGTCCCACATCGGGCTCCCAGTGCATGGAGCCTGCTTCTCCCTCTGCCTGTGTCTCTGCCTCTCTCTCTCTCTCTCTCTATCACAAATTAAAAAAAAAAAAAAAAACTCTTCAACAAACTCTACTCTTTATAAATTATGAGTAAATGGGTAATAAAATTATTTTTGTCTACACTTTATGGTATGCCTGATATACAGAACAAAAGGTCTCTTAAAGAATAAAGGCAACAATAAAGGCCACCTATAATGCTCCAACTCAGATCCTGGTGTGACATAGGTCACCAGAAAACCAAAGATTCACCAATGACATAAAAAAGAAAAAGAGAATAGACTACTTCATTTGAAACATAAGGGCAAAGCTAATCAAGAACTGTGAAAGGGACAAATCATGACCTCTGAGACAGCCTGAAAGAGCTACCCTTATTATGGAGATGAAGTTCAAGCCCAGAGCATATTTTCATTTCCATCTTATCTGGGAACACCCATGACATTATTGGGTGAATTTCTGAAAAGGTAAGTACAATGTACATAATATAAATCAGTCTTTTGCTATAAAACATTTTGTGGTTTACCACAATATTATACTTTAGACTCTTACCATGGAAAGGTCCCTGTTGTTATTTTTCAGTTTCTCTTCTTGCCTCTCTGTAAAGAATTAATGAACTGGTTAATATACACAATGCTGAGCACAAAGCAGATGTTAAACTGTCACTGATTGGTGACTACAAAAGCATTTCTGTCTCAGGATCACTTAATAATAATAAGAGCTGAATATCTGGAATATTGTATGCTTTATATTAGCAGCAAACTCAAATGCAGCAGAGCACTGAAGTGTTTCAATTTAAATAAATAAAAATCTTTATTAAAAATTATCTCTAGTATTAGTGTCTTAACTCTGTACACTAAGATATATTTTAAACTACAGTGATGGAAAAGTGTAAACACAATGATTGTACTTAGGTTTCAAACATGAGTTACTCATCTCATGTTTTTTTCCCCTCCTTTCATTTTCGTCGAGAGCAGTCCAAAAAATAAAAGCCAATCAAGACATTTAAAATTCAGGTTCTTTCATATTACAGTTAATTACTCTAAAAATAAGCGTCGTTTTCTAGGTAAGTCACTTAGAAAGCTAGACAATTTCACATATATTTCCAGCAAGTTGTTACATCCATTTAATCCGAACTGCTTAAAGAAGTCTCAACTGTACATTAATGCCCTTATTTACTGTACTCCATCAACAGAAGGGATTTGTTTCCAGGAAGAAACTGAGGTCCCACAAAGGGAAAGTGACTTGGTAGAGACCCCGTGGGCATTCCATGGCAAAGCCAGGACTAGAATCCCAGTTTCCCAACTCCCAACCCACTGACCTCTATGTTCGCTCTGATACTGTTCTCTTTGATCATGTATTATTATTGCCATTTATTTAACAAATACTGGTTACCTACTATGTGCCAGGCACTTTTCTGAGCACTGGAGATAACATGAATGAAAAAAAGTACACAAAACCCCCCACCCTCATAGGAAGACTACAAAATAAAAATATAAGATCCTTTAAATCTTTTTTTTTTTAAGATTTTATTTATTCTTGAGAGACAGAGAGAGAGAGAGAGAGAGAGAGAGACAGGCAGAGGGAGAAGCAGGCTCCATGCAGGGAGCCTGACATGGGATTCGATCCCAGGTCTCCAGGATCACGCCCTGGGCTGAAGGTGGCGCTAAACTGCTGAGCCACCCGGGCTGCCCATAAGATATTTTAAAATAAAAAAGCCATACCATTAGAATAAACTGGTGCGAGGGCTAGCAAATTTGAGCAGGTAAAGGAAAGGAGGAACTAAAAGAGGCCTACAGGGAGGCTGGCTTGAGGAGTGGACCACAGTTTTCAAACAGTACACAGCGGGATGAAGACATGACCCCTTGCCCTGAACTGCTCCTACCCAGTTTATTTGCCCTGGGAGGGAAGGATATGGGGAGGAGAGAGTAGGATGCTGCAAATATGTGGAAGAAAAGGAACAGAAAGAATGGAGCTAAGGTCTACCTTGGGGGCGGGAACTCGTTTGCTATCTAGGCAGTCCTCTGACAATGTAACAAGACGTTTTTAAATTGGGAGGGCTAAGGGCTGGGGAATGAGATGACCAGAAGGTAAGCAGGCATAAAATAACTGGAGAGGGAAGGGACTACCACTACAAATAAAAAAAAGGTATAGGAGATCTCCTATGCTAGAAGCTTTGACATATTCCTGACTCCCTCCTTTCTCATCCAGACACCACATCCTTTAATTATACCTCATACATATTTTTTAAAGATTTGTTTTTTGAAAGAGAGAGAGGGTGCACACCTGCAGGGGAGGGGCAGAGGGACAAGGAATCTCAAACAGACTCCCTGCTGAGCACTGAACCCAACACGGGGCTCACCCTAGGACCTGGAGACCATGACCTAGGCAAAATCAAGAGTCAAACACTTAACCACTGAGCCCCCCAGCCCGCCACGGAGCCTCACATACCTCATAAATATTTATGAACCCCTTCTCCTCTTTCCCTTATCCTTAGGATTTCTAACTCCTTTTTACGTATGTTAGGTCTTCTAGCATGTCTCACTGCCCCCAAACTTGCTTCCTCAAAACCATCTTTCACATAGCTGCCTGTCAGATGTACCTAAAATGCAAAACTGACCAAAACTATGACACTTCCCAGCTTAAATTCTGGCATGGCCTTTCACCCCCGTAAGGTCATGATCTAGCGTCACCTGCAAGTCTGATGTTTGCCTCTGCTTACTCTGCAGCCCCATTTCCAATCCCTCCCATGAACCGTTACATTCCTGAAACACCAAACAATTCTAAGCTGCTCTCTATGTGAAGGTTTTCTCTAGACCCAGTGTCTTTGTTCATGAAGTCCATTCTACTTGGGTGACCAACTGTCCCAGTTTTCCCAGGATTGTTCCCATTTTAGCTCTGGAAACCACACATCACAAAAAACTACTCAGTCTCAACCAACTGGGATTTCTTCCTAGAATGTTTTATCCTGACCCTATCTAACCCCTTCCTGGCTAGCTAGTACTCAACTTTTAAGCCTCAGTTCTTGGTCACTTCCTTTTCAAAATCTTGATTCCTTAGTCAATATTACTCTATAGAGCTTTCTTTTTTTTAAATTTTTATTTATTTATTTATTCATGAGAGATAGAGAGACAGACAGACAGACAGACAGGCAAAGGGAGAAGCAGGTTCCATGCAGAGAGCCCGATGTGGGACTCCGTCCCGAGTCTCCAAGATCACATCCTGGGCTGAAGGTGGTGCTAAACCACTGAGCCACCCGGGTTGCCCTCTATAGAGCTTTCTAGAGTTATGAAGATATTCTGTATCTTTGCTGACAATAAAGTAAGTACTAATTACATGTGGCTCCCAAGCAAATAAAATGTGGCTAGTGTAACTGAGGAACTAAAATTTTAACTTCATTTAAACTTTAATTTAAAAAGTCAAATGTAGGGGATTCCTGGGTGGCTCAGCGGTTTGGTGCCTGCCTTCGACCCAGGGCCTGATCCTGGAGACCTGGGATCGAGTCCCACATCAGGCTTTCTGCATGGAGGCTGCTTCTCCCTCTGCCTGTGTTTCTGCCTCTCTCTGTGTGTCTCTCATGAATAAATGAATAAAATCTTAAAAAAATAAGTTAAAAAAAATAAAATAAAAAGTCAAATGTAGCTCATGGCTGCTCTACTAGACGATGCAATCTTAAGACACTGGATTAGAATTCCTTTCTTTATGCTTCCAGAATATTCCTTGCACATCTTTATCATTATACTGAGTTTTTACATTCTCTTGTAATGATCTGTTTATATACCCATCAACCCAACCAGATGGCAACCTCTTGGAGAACAAGGAATCTCTAAGCCTTCTTCATCTCTGTATCCTCAGTACCTGGCAAGTAGTTAGTTGCTCAGTATTGTAGTATGTGTTCAGTATCACTTCATGAATGATTCAGCAATATAATAAAAGCTGACCTGAAGATACAAAATACCAAAAATCCTTTTCTAGGGAGTAGTCCTTTACGATGAAGCTGGTAACCTGAATAGGCAGAAAAGGACAAAGAGCCTAGAAGTTGAGAGCAAACTAAGGTGACATAGTTTCTCTAAAGCTCTAACATTTTTTTCACTTATGTATGTCCAAACAGAAACAATAACCGTAAGTATTATCAAGGTAGACTCTATGTATACATGGCTTAACAAGAATATAGCAGCACAGGTTTATGATACATACCCCAACAGTACCACGGTTCTTAAAGATTTGCAATTCAAATTGTTAATAATTACCTACCACACAAATAAAGTAGTTTTAGTTGGCTTCAAATAATTCATAAATAAGTTAATACTCACTTGATTTTTGAGAAGGTGAAAGATACAAATATCTTAGATGTTTGCTTTCACTCCTGCCTAGCTCTGGTAAATTCATAGCACAGCACTATGAGCTGCACAAGTTCAGTTAGATGGGACAACAAAAGAAGCTAAGACTAATTCTCAGCATAGGCATTTTACTCATGGACAATTACAGCTGATCATGTCTGAGGCTACCTGAAAGGTGTATGTTACAGACTCGAGTGATTTCACATTTCACCAGGGACCATGCCCGACAGAATAGAATAAAAAAGACAGTACACAAAAAGGTATAGTTGAGGGTGCCTGGGGGGCTCGGTGGTTGAGCATCTACCTTTGGTTCAGGTCATTATCCTGGGGTCCTGGGATCGAATCCCACATCAGGCTCCCTGTGAGGAGCCTGCTTCTCCCTCTGCCTGTGTCTCTGCCTCTCTCTCTCTCACGAGTAAATAAATAAAATCTTAGAAAAAAAAAAGATGCCTCGAGAGAAAAGGGACAAAAAATGAAGAGACAGAACAAAGAAACAACAAACTAAACAAATATATTTAACAGGGAAACATTATACATGCAAAATTTCATCTGAAATGAACCTGATCTATATGTGGGTAGGAAATGCAAAGACACCTCAAGAAGCATAAATATTATAAAAACAAAGAAGTTAATACTCAAATGTTCTCTCAGGACACCTGGGTGGCTCAGTGGTTGAGCATCTGCTTTTGGCTCAGGGCATGATCCCGGGGTCCTGGGATCGAGTCCCACATCAGGCTCCCTGTGAGGAGCCTGCTTCTCCCTCTGCCTGTGTCTCTGCCTCTTTCTCTGAGTCTCTCATGAAATAAAAAAAAAAAAAAATCTTCAAATGTTCTAGAAGATGTAACAGTCTTTAGAAATCCAAAAATGTCCATTTAAAAAAGAGTAAATCTGATCTAATGGAAGTGCTACCAATAGAGAAACAATTTCAGGTACTCCCCAAGTTATGAACAACAAACTTGCAAATCCCATAAAGCCACAGTTAGCTTTATATACCTCCCCTTCCTCCCACTAACCCCTCAAAACTGATGATACCGGGATACCTGGGTGGCTCAGCAGTTTAGCGCCTGCCTTGGGCCCAGGGCATGATCCTGGAGTCTCGGGATCGAGTCCCACGTCAGGCTCCCTGCATGCAGCCTGCTTCTCCCTCTGCCTGTGTCTCTGCCTCTCTCTCGCTCTATGTCTCATGAATAAATAAATAAAATCTTAAAAAACAGAAACAAAAACTGATGATACCTTTATTTATAACGATTTCATTTATT